TTCCCCAAAGCGTTCTTGATCCTTTGATCATCTTCTGGGTGAGATCATCAACTGGGCTGAGGGAAGGGTTTATGGTACTTACTACCATCCTGGCTTTGAGCAAATCATTTTTTCAGCTCTCATTTTTTTATCTGTAAAATGTAGATAATACGTAACTGTGCAGGGTTACTGGCAAGACTGAATATAATAACCAGAGTGGTCATATGGCCTCCTTTGCCCACGACAGGCCCAGCCTAATTATTAACAGTCACTCTCAAAAGTATCTCAGTTTGGACAAATAATGATGTGGCTGCCAAACATATAAATTACCAAGCATTACACATGACACAGAGTGGGCCCTCAGTCACTGAGGCAGCTACTGCTAGTCTAGATTCTAGATTCTAGGATTGTTCATGCATTTCAACCAACCAACCAAAAACAAAAAAAAACACAACCGAAAACAAAAGAACAAAAAAAAACACAACCCTTTAAATGTGCCACCATTATAAACCCAGGCGAGAACACCCCTTCCTACTTAGAGGCAGAGGATACTGATTTGGGGTTCTGCTTCTCATGAGGACTGCCAGCTACCTTAGCAGAAGTGGCCATGGCCACAGAAGACTGGAGTAACTCTCTTCTAAGTGTCGGGGACAATGCTGGGTGCTTCCCACGGTTAACAGAATGAGGTAAGTGAGCTTGAACTTGAGCTGTACTGCTCCGCTAGACTGAGGCAACTCGGTTAACCACTTTAATTTTCTACTTCTTCAAACCAACTCTACAAAACTAACTAAATGAACATCTTGAGATTTTTCCTTTAGGCTTTCTCACAGCATCTTTGCTGTATCCTGGGGACTTAAACAGAGGTCAGTAAGTACTGCTCTGCTGTGAATCGGATGTGTTTTCAAGTCTTACTGGCACCTGGTTTCTCTGTCCCTAGAGCTTACCCTGTACTAACCAGCACTTCTATGTTGGACAGAAATATTGTCCTTATCACCACAACTTCACTCACTACCACATACCTGAAAAATGCCACATCCAATTTTCCCAACTAACGCAAGGTTTTCTGTAGCAACATGAGACATTTTACAATGTACAGCAGCCCCTTCCAAAAGGAGAGAGCTTGTTCAGTTCCCCAGGGCAGTTTGTGTGTCAATGGAATTCTCATTCCCAGAAAGAGTTAACGGGCATTCAAAAGTATCCCTCTATGGTTTGTCAGATGTTGCAAGAAAGATGCAAACTGTCCTGTCCTGGAAAGACTGGGATGCTAAATGGACACTGAGTCCACCTTCATTCATTGGGCCGGTGTTCATTGAATATTATGGGGTGGATAGAGACACAAGGAATGTCAGTAGGAGTTTCAGACCAGAGGGAGAGCCTACACACAAGCTCTGTACATCAATACAAAGCAAGCCCTCCTTTCCCATGAAAATAGCTTGAAACTATCTGCCTTAAATGTTTTCTGTAGCAAATGGGAAAGGCCAAGGTGACTTTCTGCCACCGAGAATATTCCCAGGTTGTCCCCTGTGCTGCCGGAAGGTGTGCACTCAGGGAAGGCAGGCATGTTCCAGTAGGAGCTGAGGTGGAAAAGGGGGTACAGTTAAAAAATAAATCTAGAAAAAAGAATGGCCCGAAGCAAGCAACTGATTTTGGCATATATTCATGCAGTTTCCTTCTCTGGGGTGTAGTGAATGTTGACTACTCAGAGAGTTATCCACTGAGGCTGTCACCCCTCAGGGGGAAAATGGTCTAAGCCTGATTTTGAGTGGATTTAGAAGAGAAGGGAGCATTGGAATACATTAATAATATTTTAACAGTTATTGAAGTTCACAATGTGCTAGACACTATGCTAAGTATTTTACATCTTAATGTCTCATTTACTTCTGGGAGGTATTCATTATTTTTGCCTCCATTTTACAGATGAAAAAATTGAGGCAGAGCAGTTAATTGATTGCCCAAGGCCTGGGAAATGCAGGAGCCAGAGATCTGAACCAAGCCTATCTAGCTCTGTAGCGTGTGTGTTCGAGGCGAGGGCAAGCCAGGTTAGGGGGCGGACATGTGTGCAGACACGAACTGGAGAGCAAGTCGTGAAATGCAGAGCAGGGTTAGCAGATCAACCATGGCTGGGGCAGGAAATCAACATGAGAGAACATGAACGAGGAACTCAGAGGGGCCTGTACAGTGGTCACTGACACTCGGGGGCAGTGGGAGCTGAGATGTAGTCTTTGAAAAGCTGGCAGAAGACTCTCTGGGCTACTCTGTGTCAGAGGGACCGTGAGGAGACCACTGCAATCTTCCAGGTTAAACTGAGGAGGTCCTATGGTGGCCACGGCCATGAACATGGAGGGGTCACAGCTTTGAGCATCACTGAGCAGCTGGGCAAGGCCTGGGGAAGGGTGGGGAAGCAGCAGACCAGGACAAGTGTCCAAATAGATAAGGAAAGCCTCTGCAGTGAGGTCGACAAAGGACATTTATCTGCAGGCATGAAGGCCATTTGAATCCCTAACTCCATTAAAATAAAGGGGCAGCCCGACAGAGTGGGCAGGCGAGTGAAGCGAGTGAAGAGAGTTGTCAAAATGACCAGAGAATGAAAAGCTAATACAGCTCACCTGACAATGATTGATGTAATTGACTTGTTAATTCTTCAGAGGAGACAAATATATACAAAATTACATTTCCCCCCACAATGTGCCATTAAAAAAAAGAAAAGAAACCTTAGCCTGGAAATACTCAGGGAATCATCTTCCCTTTTACTACCACTAGCAAAGCAGGCAGCCATAGTTAGAGTTTTATTGCTTTCTAATTGCTGTACTTTTATAAATAAGCACCACTACATAATTAGGGGCCTGATTCTCCATTCAGGTATGTGGGCGGGCTTCCTTGCCTCTCAAACCTGTGATGCTGGGCCAATCAGCTGCTTGCCCTGTGGTGCATCCTCTCAGCCTCTTTACACTGAGTAGGCTGAGCACCCTAAGGCTTCTGTTTTCTACTTTGTCTTCCACACAAATTCCTTTCTCTCTTGGCTACAGAAAATATGTAAACCTGAGAGCTACGCTAGGTTGCAAGCCGGTTAGTGTTGCAACAAAGCTTAAAGAAGACTAAGCATAAGGTGTATTTCCTCTTCCTCTTTCAAGAAAGGACTGAAAAACATTCTGACCCCCAAAGGAAAGCTAGAGAATTACCAAGTTCACTCTTGTGCAAGAAAGAAACTAAGGTGGAGAGCAGGTACTGTGTGTCTTATTCACCTTTGTAGCTCCACAGCCTGGCACGTAGTAGACGTGGAATAAAGATCTGCTGAATGAATGGAAAGAATTCAAAATCGTGCCCCAGGTACTCTCAAAGTAGAAATGAAGAGGCATTTTGAACCATCTCTTGACGTGTGTATGGGGGGAGTGGAGAGAGTTTAGTAAGGGTGGGGAGAATATATACTTTGTCTAGAGTAACTTGAAAATAGACAAGGGAGAAAGATTTTAAAAGAAATCCCACTGGCCTGAGCACTGTCACAACATAATTTTCAATCTAATGAGGCAACGGAAGGTGACAGAAGGGGATGGAAGACAAGAATCTGGTCTTAAAGTACTCAAAATAATGCTTCAAAACCACACACCAACGTCAAACTCTCAATAAGTCTTTCCAGATATTGGAAAGTTGCTCTATAAAGAACCTTGAATGTCCAATTTCTTTTCATTAATCAAAGGATGGATAGACAAAGGAAGCTTCATCTTTGAGTGTGAAGTATTACACAAATAATGAAACCAAGAGAAATGAGTTATGACTAACAAAGGAATGCTCCTGGAGTGACAGTATTACTCCCAAATGGCTTCCCACCTGTAGAAAAACAGCTTCAGACAAGCCCCACAGTGTATACAGTGGCACAAAGTGACCTGGAAAGGATGGTTTCTATGGGTGTCATTTAGAGATGCATATCCCTGAATACCTTCAGCCTGAAGGTACTTCGGCTCTTTTCTCAAAACAATTATGGCACTGAATCCCCTGCCCAGGTTTTGTTTACAGAAGGACAATTTTGGCCACAGGTCATTTGTGTAGGAGACAATTAATCCCCAGCTCCTTGAGCACAGGTAGGCTAAAATTAGTATGCACAAAAACACAACATAAAAATGTTTCTTGGAAAATTTTTTGAAATTTCAAACAATTAAGGATCTGCAATACCTGCCGGTCTTTTATCCAAAGCAAGTACAAAGGCTGGTTGGTGAAACAGAGAAGACTTTGTTTTGAAACTGTTCAGAAAAATACAAGATATCATTGATCACCTGAAGGCCTCATTTTCATTTGATTCCAGATCCGTGATGCCTTGGAGGTTGTCTTTTTGAAATATCTTACTGCTAAAATCTTTAAGTAGGTCAGAAATAGAACTTCAGAAGCCATAACATTCCGATATCCTAATACATAATTACGGTCAGAACCTCACTTGTTTATGTCACAAAAAAAGCACATTATTCAGACTGTAACAAACATCAGGATTTTTTTACAGATCAAATATTGTAACAGCATTCTGAACACCATCCACACGGACAAGGCAGAAATCAAATGTGCAAATTGCCTTTATATTAAAAAAAAAGATGAGTCAGGTTTTAGACTATTAGATACTTTTTTGTTTATACAATACCCTAATAAACCAATTATGAAGTGCTCTGAAATCCTGCCACACCCCTCTGATTAAAGCACACTTCACAAAATATTTCGATAAAACTGAACCTATCAAACAAACACTAAGGCAGGAAATGCAGCCTGGAATGCCCCATCCTGCACTCACCAGGGTCTAAAGGGCCATCTCACTTGCAAATTTAATCAAACCAAATCTACTGTAATTCCATTGCAGCCTTTGCACTTCAGGAAAGCTAGTTCAGTCTCTGACATTTTGATTTTCATAGCAGATGGGAGGAAAAAAAAAAACTTCCCGGGCTCACAAGCGTATGCGTCCAGTTGAAATTCTATTTCTCCAACCACCTTACGCAACATCCAGCAAACAAACAAACAAAACAAGGTTATTTCCTATTACTCACTGTTACTCCAGGATTTCAGTAAATATTTGATACTGATCTCAAAGAAGCCGGAATCCTGCTGGCTGGCCATGTCGGCGGCATACAAAGAGGCTCCTCGGACCGGACTGGGAGCCGCTGAGGAGCAGGTACCGGGCGTGGAGATGTGCCTGTCACAGGTTAGTGATGTAAGCGGGGTCAGCGGCCGAGAGGAAGGCTCTGCAGATCTACCTCCGGCGCCGGCAGGGAGTCCTCATTTAAAGGACGCGGAGGAGCGAGAGAGAGATGCTCGGCCGCTCCTCCTCCTCCGGGTCCAGGACTTGCGTCTCATTCGCTGGGTGCTGCTCTCCGAGCCCTTAGAGGAGGCGGCGGCCGCGGCTTTCATTTCTGGGCTGCCATGAGCGGGGACGCCCGCTGCCGGCCGCCCACATGCGCGGCTCCGGCAGGTACGGCACCGAGGAAGTCCGCACCTGAGCTGGGATCCGGCTTGCCCTGGGACGGGGGGCTTCTCGCCGGCCTCCCGGACGCAGCGCAGACCGCCTCCGGC